GTTCTATTATTATATACTATATATATATATCTGTAGTTGTATGGTTGTGTGTAGTGTGGTAGTGTGTCGGTTGTTTTTTTGTTTTTTTTGTATATATATACAGTGTTTGTGTGCGTGTGCGTGTGCGTGTGCGTGTGTGCGTGTGCGTGTGCGTGTGTGCGTGTGCGTGTGCGTGTGTATATATGTTTGTAAATTTGAAGTCTTGTATGTATGTATGCATGTATGTACGAAGGTTTGTATGTATATGTATATATATATATATGTGTGTGTGTGTGTGTGTGTGTATTTGTGTGTGTGTGTGCATGTACTTATGTATGTATGTATGGATGTATGTAGACATGCATGCATATATGTATGTATGATATTCATGTGTTTTGTGTATGTGTTTTCTATTCATGTCTGTTTCTGTATCTGTGTGTATGCATGTATTTATATCTATATCTATTTATATATATATAAATATATATATATATTCATATTTATATTTATGTGCATGTATTTATGTATTCCTGTATTCATGCATGTTTGTTTGTAATTTTGTAGGTACGTACGTATATATTTAGTTATATCTTCATTTATTTTTTTAATCAAGGATGTATTTTTACATATATATATGTCTATATATAATAAGTATTCGTGCTTCCATTCCGTTAGTCTCTGAATTATGATCCAGAATATCTTAAATATGTATACTGTAGTATAGCGTTGATATCAATTTCTTGAAATGGCAATAGTTCTTCAATATACGCCTATGCCGATGATTATAATGCTGGACCTGTGTTCTGTATAGAAGTTGTGAGTTGATACACACATTTGCAGGACGCCATCGTTTGTTGCCTAGCAACAGTGGCTTCGTATTATTCGCGTCACTTCATAGCAAGATTTATCCATTGCATAGCCACATCTCGCCGTATCCTCCTCGTTGTTTTATAAACGTCACAGAAACCGATGTATCCCTTTGTCATGTTTTGTTTACTTTTGTATAAGAGAACAGGCAAGCGTTCCGGGCGGAGTACTGTCAATCTGGTCCCTCTCACCCATGCTTCGCTAAAATGTTATCGAGACTCAGATCGTATGGCAATTGATGTGTTCTGAGTGCTCATGTGTGTGCCTTCTCTAAACACTGGTGCCACAGGCCGCATCCCCGTACCTAAGTTTGCGTATTCACTTGTTTAGGGTTTTAGGGAATCGGGCGGAAGGCCTAGACCCCTAAACCCTTAGACCCTTCTCTCGTTGGCCGGGTATTCTCTATTAACATCGCAGATAGCACACCCGCACGTGATTTTATTGTTGCCAACTTTAGATCCCTCATCCATACCGAAGCTCTAGATTTCCCACTACCCTGTGTTGCTTATACCTTTATATGCCTGCAACCTTGAGACCATATATCCGAACGCTACTTCCAGATTCCTCACCCCATCTATCTCTGATCGAATCGCAAACACCAGTATCTCTGGGGCGTACCCATACCGACAACCAGCTTTCTCACATATCCGTCGCTGGTACTTCATCCATCCTACAGATCCCTTGGCCAGAGCGATCCATACTGCAAGGTATGGATTAACGGCGGCGACCAGGAACAGACCACAGCGGTCAAGAAAAAGACCTTATCGCCTTACTGGGGCGAAGAGTTTATGTTCAATGTGGTCCCGAGCAGAGACCGCATCACACTGCAGGTGTTCGACCACCACAGATTCATGTTGAAGAAGGCCGGGTTTCTGGGAATGGTTGAGCTGAGTTTGAAGGTGTGTGATACGTTTGGTATGCGAAACGGAAAGGTATATATATATATATATATAATTCATATTATATATATGTATGTGTGTGTGGTGTATATATATATATATATATATATATATGTGTGTGTGTGTGTGTGTATGTATATATGTATGTATATGTATAGTTGTATGCAATTATGTGTCTCAGCGAGCTTGTTCTGTGTAGGCTTGTACGTTTGATCAATATACACTTCTACTCGAGGCGTGCGCGTTCTTGCTTGTACATACTGGCTATTGCATGGTATATTTTTTTACACGGTGGTACAATCTTTGTCTCTAGTTTAGTTATCTGGTTGTATATCATTCTACTACTGGTTCAATCATGCCTGATCCTAATACTAATACTGGCGTCATTGACTATATCTGGGAACGTCATAGACGTACTTGTCAGTGTGTGCGTATTCTTTGAATCTCTTTTTGACCGCATGCTGTTGCACTTCTGGCTTACTGGTCTGTATATGCCAATCCTCGGCAAACACATATATGTGTGTATGGTTATATATATATATGTATATATTTATATTTATATATATATATATATATTGTGTTGGTGAGTGAGTGTGTGGGTGTGTGGGTGTGTGTCTGAGTCTGAGTCTTTCTAAATGAGTGTGCGCAGGAGGGTATATGTACGCCCTCACACCTGGCCAACCTGCACTTGCACCTCAAAACAGGACCTGGACATTCCCGGCCCCAATGAGGAGATGAAACAGGAGAACTTCTCTCTCAAAGGCCGCAAAGGGGTCACCCAAAAGAAGATCTCGGGCTCCCTTACTATCCGTCTACAGTACTCGCGTGTCCCAGAGAACGAAGCTCCTCAGCGCAACACTACAAGTACGAACCCAGAACCGGCTGCTGCTTTGCCACCTACGTCGGATGATCTGTTTCAGGCACCCCCCAATGCTAATGTCCCGTCTACGACATCGACTGCGGCAGCAAGCTCAAGTGCTGCAGGAGCGAGAGGCAATGCGGAAGGTAAGGAAGAAACATGAATACTCGTATCGTGTTGCTTTATGTATGTCTGTGTGTGTGTCTGTGTGTCTGTGTGTCTGTGTGTTTGTGTGTGTGTCTATGTGTTTGTGTGTATGTATATATATATATATATAGATATACTGTTCAGCGATCCCTTTACTGCCTAGCCTCGATTGTTTATATGCCCCTATTAAGGCTAGCAACCATCTATTTCATCAGCTGTAGCATCGCTTTTGTTTGTGAGTGCTTATGTAAGTGATGTTGGTAGTCATATCTCTTCAAGTGTGTACACTGCTTCGGATGCGTGTACTTGATCGCTCAAGTATTTGATAAATGGTAGTATATGTTATTTACTACATGCGAGCCTGTGTCTGTATGTGTCTGTGTCTGTATTTGTGTGTCCGTAGAGACAATCATATGAGGTCTGCGAGAACTGGAGAGAGTTCAACACCATTTGAGTGTATTCTTATCCCTTTGACATAAACATGTTATTCTGCATATACCATTGACCCGTGTGCTGGAGTCCTTTGCGTATCATGATCATCTATCTATCTATCTGCCACTTGAATGAACGTGCGTAGAATAGCACATAGGACACCTTCGGAAGCTGGAGCCAATTTGATACGGCTGGGTGTGTGCATATATACTCAACGAGCGCATTTGTAGTACTACCACATATCAGTTGGTTCAAGTATATGAGTCATACACAATTCTATATCACAGCAACAAAATTATACACCCCAACAACTCACCCCAACCCACACCACACCACACCCATTTCCTCAGGCGCTGAGTCCGAAAGTGAGGGCGAACAGCAGGAGGAGCCCCTACCCGAGGGCTGGGAGGAGCGCGAGGACCAGAACGGACGCATCTACTATGTCGACCACAACACCAAAACCACCGCCTGGACTCGCCCCACGTCCACCAACACAGACAGCATCCGCGAGGGCAGACAGCGTGACAACGCACAGGAACAGCAAAGTTTTGCCAAGCGCCACCGCACCAGCTTCACGTCCGAAAGCGGGGCGGGCAAGTCGGCGGTTCAGGAGGTGCAGGAGGGTATGGCAGACATGCGTATGCACGAGGGATCGTCCAGGGCTGGGGGGGCTTCAGCCGGAGCTTCGTCGAGCGGGACATCCAGCAGGTGTGTTGTGTTGCAGAGGCTCTCGAGGCTGGAGTGTGTGTGTGTGTGTATCCAGGTGTATTTGTTATATATATATATGTATTTGTTGATGTGTTTGTATTTGTATTTTGTATTTATAATATATATATATATATTTATATATATATATATAATCATATTCGTTCGTGGTTTCGTATAGGTACATATTTGTGTACCCAGTATACAGCCTTACCTACACTCACTCCATTCACTGCCCTCGTTACACCCACTTTCTCTCCCCCCCCCCCCCTTTCCTCCACTGAATCCTCTAAACCTTAAACCTTCTAACACTTTATCCTTACTAACCTGTCTAATGCAGAACGGGCTCAACAGGAGGGTCCAAGAAATACGCCAGTGTGGCTGTATCTGCTGAGGAAACTCCGCTGCCAGTCGGGTGGGAGATGCGGTCTACGCCCGAGGGCAAAGTCTTCTTCGTCGATCACAACACACGAGAAACGACCTGGCAGGATCCGAGAAAACCCAAACCCACTCCAGGTACGTATACTGTTGTTCATGTCCAAGTCTTCGGATCGAACTCCACGTTCTCACGTTGTTGTTATTTTTTAGAATTTTTAAGATATATTCTTAAACATAGCCACATGCTCATACTTCCCATCTGTTGCGGTAGGCGCCGACCAAGGAGGCGACAGCTCTGGTGGTGCATCGACCCTCAATACACCGACGACACGGAACAGGTGTGATGTCCGTATTTTTTGTAATTTGTGTTTATCTATATATATATACACCTTTCGGTGCCGGTATGTGTGTATGCATGTGTGTGTACGAGTGTTTAGTTGTTCATTTATTTGTGTATTCACGTATTTATTTGTTATTTATTTAAATATATATTAGTACTTGTATTTATTTATATTCGTATATATATACGTGTGTGTGTGTGTCGCGTAATACCCAAACACAGCCGTGACTGTGACTTATTTTTAACTCACGGAGAGTTGAGGGACACGCGGCTATGCCTATCGCAGAACGCGCACGATACATCTCAGATGCAGACATGGATCGCAAAATACTGTTTTTGAGTTTCAGGGCTTTTAGTTGTTACAACTAACAGGCATATACGACGGTAGTTTGTGCAATGCAGGCATGCATGACGTATATCTCAAACTTGTATATCAAATGTAATGAAAAACATACAATACAATGGCCGCAGCGGCATTCTGGCGTCCCGCCAGCGTTAGATAACACCTTCACATTTAGGCCAAGTTTTCACACACACTTAGCGTGTTTCATCGAGATATTTCGACCTACATTGGCAGCTTATGACACTGGTTCCCCAGCAACACCAACCCGTATTGAATGACTGTTCTAATTCACAACTCCCAGGGCCAGTTCGAACCCGAACCTCGGCACACTGCCGCCCGGTTGGGAGGAGAGACGCACGCATGACGGACGTATCTTCTATGTCAACCACATCGAACGTACCACGCAGTGGGAGGATCCTCGGCACCAGCACTCGTACTCACAGAACACCCCGGCTCAGGCCTATGCGCGAGACTACCGGACTAAACTGGCCTACTTCAGGTCAAAGCTGCGCCAGCGTGAGGGCAAGGTGGATATCACCGTGGGCAGAAACGTAAGTGTTAATCTGTATTCAGTCCTATTTGCTTCGATAGATATAGCAGGTGTATATCCTACAACATCTAATGTTTCTGTAAATATAGACTGTGCTTGCGAACTCAATCCGTGAGGTGAGGAGTCACATACCTGTTCTATAAATATCAGGCTTACTCCCTACTCCCTACTATACCTACTGGTTCTATAAATAGGCTGTGTTTGAGGACTCGTTCCGTGAGGTGATGAGGTACACGCCCGATCAACTGCGCAAGCGACTGTGGATCAAGTTCGAGGGCGAAGACGGTCTGGACTACGGAGGTTTGGCGCGAGAGTGGTTCTACCTGCTCTCCCATTCCGCTTTCTCGCCATACTACGGTCTCTTCGAGTACGCCGCCAGGTAGGTGCAGAGTCAACGTATTAGCGTATACAGGTGGTATTCATGGGAGAAAAACGGTTTGGATGTGAAATAGCCAAATAAGCGCATTGTATTCCATCACTCATTCCGCATTCTCGCCGTACTATGATAACTCAATTCGGTCACGCCGCGAGGTGCAGAGATAATATATATATATATATATATATATGTATCCAACTATCTATCAGTTCGTGTTTGATCTTCGGGTTTGATATATGTAGATGGATCTGGGTACTGTGAGTAACTCTGTATGCGTAAAAAAAAGTGGTGCTGTATAGCTATCACTGACTATATTTGTGGTCGGGCCTCTATTAGACTGAATGATCAACAGGTTCCGATTTATATATGTATGTATATATATATGTGTGTGTGTGTGTGTGTGTGTGTGTATAGGTATTAGATCATCTAACATGAATCTTCACCCACGCGCTATCCTCTGCAGTGATATCTACACACTGCAGATCAGTCCAAACTCGGGTATCAATCCCGATCATCTGCAGTACTTTGAGTTCATCGGACGAATTGTGGGAATGGCGGTGTTCCACGGCAAGCTTATTGACGGTGAGTTTGGGGCTACATGGTTACGCACGCACCTGGATTGTGCACTATATTTGACCTTACATACCACAAGTAGCTTTTGTAGTGTAAGCCTTTGCCGTATGCATAGCGAACACGTGACCTATGCGTCTGGCAAAGAACTAGAACTTACACGGGTCAGTCAGGCCTGGTGGTGTTATTCTGCGGTATTCTTGTTTTTTGAGTTCAAGGTACCGGATCGCATACTCTCAGTCGATACTATGCAATATTTATACCTATATAGTCCGTTTGTCTGTCCTTGGCAGAACATTTTAAAATACTTTCCTAAATCCTCAGAACCGAATATGTATAGCCTACTTTCTGAAGGTTTAAAATTCTTCAAGGGAAACCCCCCAGCATTGTTTTCTCTTAAGTCCTATGTCCTTCTCAACTTTGGATACATATAGCCTTCTTCATCCCGCCGTTCTACCGTAAAATGTTGGGCCGACCTATGGAATTCGAGGATATCCAGACTGTGGACATTGAGTACTACCGCAGTTTGCGCTGGATCCTGGACAACGACATCACCGATGTTCTGGACCTGACATTCAGTGTGACGAAGGAGAACTTTGGAAACATAGAGGAGATTGAGCTGAAGCCCGATGGAGACAATATCGAAGTGACTGAGGAGAACAAGAAGGAGTATGTGGCGCTGATGACGGAGTGGCGGTACAGCAGGAATATCGAGGAGCAGATGAATGCCTTCATCACCGGCTTTAACTCTATCATTCCTCAGGTGTGTAGGGGCGCGCGTGTGTGTGCGTGTGGATGGGTGAGAGAGAGAGTGTGTGTGTGTGTGGCCTTGAATTGTGAGTGTCTTGAATACTTACTTGGTTCACCGTGTCATACGTCGCATAAGTGTGTTAGACTGGTTTCGACTCTGTCAGTATCAGAACATAGTACACTTCCATATAACTCAACACACTGTCCTTTAATTCACACCTCAGCATTTGGTAAAGATATTCGATGAGAAAGAGCTTGAGTTGCTGATCGGAGGTTTGGCCGAGATAGATGTGGAGGATTGGAAGGCAAATACAGAGTATCGCAACGGCTACCACGCCCAGCATGAGACTGTGGTGATGTTCTGGAAGGTTGTGGAGAGTTTCGATAACGAGATGAAGGCTCGTCTGCTTCAGTTTGTTACAGGAACTTCGCGCGTGCCTGTCAGTGGTTTCAAGGAGTTACACGGTATGATTATGTTCAACCTATACTGCATCTTGCTTTTCTTGTAGCACACATGTATCATTGGAAGTTGCTGTGAATTCGTATATGTCTGTACGTATATTTAGGCGGAATCACTTTTTTTTTCTCTGGTATATGTTAGGTAAGTGTAGAAAGTTAGCTCAGGATATTCTCGATTTTGTTAACTATACTGTATGCGTACACATTTACCACACTTGAGTAGATTAATTCTATAATCCTTGCTGAGATAAGAGTTGGGGATATTAAATTCTATATATCCGATACTAAACTGGATGTTTACGGTGTATCACAGGAAGTAATGGGCCGCAGAAATTCTGTATTGAGAAGGTCAATGCCGTCGATGGACTGTGTCGCGCACACACGTGCTTTAACCGTGTAGATCTCCCTCAATATGCGAGCTTAGAATTGCTAAGCGAACGACTTGTCTTCGCCATGGAGAACACGGCTGGTTTCTCCAATGAATAATCGAATACTTGGGCTTGAACTAATATTAAAGATAAAATCGGCACCCAGAGTGGGCACGTCTACGATTGCAAGTGCGAAATTGAGACAGTTACAATTGTTGCTTCATGGGTTTTAGTGTTTTGGCACAGTGGATGACAAGTCGTAAATGTCACACAGGCCATAACTTTTAAGTGTGACTTCAATTACAATTTTTCTGCGAATTAAGCATATCTGACTCCGGAGCTGTGCTTTTTAAGCGTTCAGTATCTGAGTCTTGGTGTGGAATAGCGATTTGGCGATGACTGTTTGTTAGTGCATCTATGGAGGAACCGTCTCTCGGTATCGCTTGCTTTGAAAGACTACGGTGTGCTACTCTCGGCTCGAGAGCTTGATGGGGATACGTATATTAACCACAGGCATTCCAAAAGAAATTTGGGTGGAGAGAGGATGTTTTTAGCTAGATTTTTCTCTCGATTTAGTTGAGAAGTTCGCTCTAGTCCAAACCCATCAACTGTGTTTGATTGCATAAGCAAAGTCTTTAGAACTATCAGGTTTTTGCTGTCGTTCGAACTGCTCTGCTCTGTACCATCCTCGTATTTCATACGAATTTCACATGGCGAAGCTCCGGATTGTTTGGGTCGTCTCCCACCTCATGAATGCACTAAAGCTTAGGAAATTAAACTTTTTGGTGCATACGTTGGTCCACGGCATGGTTGTAAATGCTGGCCGCTTGGAATCTGCACATTGTGCACTTCGCGTGGTTGCGTAGTTGCGTAGTTGCGTAGCTGAGAAGGTGATTTCTCAAACTGGTTTAAGTATTTATATATTTCGTGGTTGACATAATCCCAAGGAATTAAATCTTCATTACGCGAAGACTATGTCATTGCTTCTTTTGTGAGAGTTTGCGCTGTGAACTGGTCTAAAAATATATAATAATGTTCCCAGCGAGGGGCTCGAACCCTCGACCTTGAGATTAAGAGTCTCACGCTCTACCGACTGAGCTAGCCGGGTATATGATAAATATTTTTTGTACTAATTTATTTTCAATATTAAATTTGATGCTCTTATTTTATTTGTCAAGTCACATTTTGCGTCAAGTAACATTTTTTTTACTTTCTGTTTTTTATTGAAAGAACTTTACCACTATTCAGATACTATATTATACTAAAAAATAGAGTTCGGTCCGGTAGAGAATTGCATTGAAACAATCCCACGCCTCTTCTGTGTGATCTTGATAATATATTCTGCTATCGGAACCAAATACTACATAGACTTCACGAATGATTGGAATGCGAATTAAGACTGTTCATCGACAGATCGGATTTGCTACTTTGTGGTGAACAATAAAATTATATCAGCACTTGCAGATACTCAAGTAGTCTGCGGCGGGTTGTGCATTCTGCGTGATCATATGCTATCGAAATACACACTCCGACTGCATCGAACTTTGCTACACTACTGTACTTGCAAGGGATTATATTGTATAGGGGTGGATAGTGAAGGAGAAGTCACGTCAAATAATATCGTCTTTCGCCTGATACAAAGTTTAATGGATGTGTGTTTATGACAGAGCGTTTCAGATTACAATGACGCGAGCATATTGTTTTGAATATCATATGGTGCAGAGGGGCAAGAACCTGCGCCTCCGGGTCAATTTTCAAACTTGAATAACTTCTGAAGTTTTTATTTATTTATTTATAAAAAGTGGATCCGCGTGTAGCCCTGGACGAGACGCGTCGATAGAACCTATGTTCATTATTCCCGTTTTTGGGACCCCTCCCCCCCCCCCCCCTTTACACTAGGTAATATGGACTTTTGGGCATTTACGATGTTTACACCAGGTCAAATCCACTTTTGATACTCGAAACCCAATTAAAAAAAATACATTTAAAAATTTGGAGACGACAGAGCACTAACTTTGAGGCTGGGGAGTCCGAATCCGCCCTAATTTGTACTCGAGCTAAACTGGAACCCATTCAAAATCGTGTTTTAAAGTTATTCCCATTTTTTATGCCGATTTTGTACCACTCATAACTCTGAAGATATTGAGAGAGAAAAAATACACGGTTATCCGAAGTTAGCATTCGGGTATAACGAGAGGAAGCCGTAGCCGTTGTAAAAATCGAGATTGGGCAATTATTTCGAGGCCCATCATTGTTTAAAAATCGGGCCCCGGGAGGCACAGGTTCTTGCCCCTTCTGCACCATATAATTTAAACCATATTCCTAATTGATATTCATAAAAATGTTCCCAGCGAGGGGCTCGAACCCTCGACCTTGAGATTAAGAGTCTCACGCTCTACCAACTGAGCTAGCCGGGAATATGTTAGGTCTTGCTTTGAAAATTTAAATTATAATAAATATATTTATTAATATATTTGTTCGCATCTTTTTGGTCAAGCAACATTTTTGTATGCGGTCAAGTAACAATTTTTTTTTTACTTTCTTCGTTTTTTTTAAATAAAAACCTACCACTATTCAGTTAATTTTGTGTACATACTAAATAAAATATCTACTACAATGCGTAGAGAACTGCATTTGAACAATCCCATCGCCTCTTCTGTGAGATCTTTGATAATATATTATGCTGTCGGAACCAAATACTAGACATACTCCGGTTCATAAATGTTTAGAATGCGAATTAGACTATTCATCGACCGATCGTATTCGATACTTTGTGGTTGAACATTAAAATTGCAACAACATTTGCAGTTGATCATATGATCTGCGACCGGCTGTGTAGTCTGCATTATTCTTTGCTATCGAAATACACGCTCCAGCTGCAACGAACTCTTTCGCAACACTGCCCTTGCGAGGGAGTATATTGTATAGAAATGGATAGCGAAGGCGAAGTCACGGCGCATAAAATGATCTAACGCCTGATGCAAAGTTCAATGGATGTCTGTATATGATATTTAAAGATTTTCAGATTACAATGACGCGAGTATATAGTTTTGGGTATTATCATATGATATAAATATTTAATTATTTTTCATAAATACCACCGCAGTTTTAAAGCTAAGAATATATATCATTAAAGCGTTTGTGTGATGTATTCGCTTCAGACCCTATGTTGGGAGTGTTGTCTGTAACTGTTCACCTCGATTTGAATAAATATGATCTGGATAGGGCTTCATCTTCGTGTATGAGAGTGGTGAATAGACCATATTTCGTTTATATTTTAGAATAAAAACTCTCCGTATCTAAAGTATATATTCGGGAAAGAGTTCCCAGCGAGGGGCTTGAACCCTCGACCTTGAGATTAAGAGTCTCACGCTCTACCGACTGAGCTAGCCGGGGGTATTTCAAATTCTCACATAAAATATTATATACCCGCTAACATTTTGTGTCAAGTAACAATCTTAATTAATCGATAGAAATAGGATGTTGTGTAGGGTTTATACTTGGGTACATACTCCTGTGGAATGACTTCTACGTCTGATGCGAGAGTTTCGAAACGAAAATTTAATACTATACCGAATCTGCCGATACAGCAATGGCTGTGGCACAAACCTAAAAATATCTGACATTGTTTGCGGTGAACCCTTTTTCATTCGACACGGGCCAATACTTCATCATTCAATTATACTTGCTATAGCAGCCGGATCCGTATCTACATATCTATACCTAGGTGATACAGACAAGGACGTGGTAATGTGATGGCGTGTGTAGTACGTGGTCATCAGTGACCGCATTTTTATGCAGATTTGATGGTTTTACAATCAATCTAGGGTCTACTTCGGGATCAGTCATGAACAACTCATGTGAATCCGGATTGCGCACGGGTAGTACACTTGCCGGATATCAAGCCATTCTTCGTGAAATGTTCAGCGTTGTACAGTATGCTCCCGTAAAAAAGTTTGTTAAGTTCCTAAAAAATTGTGCAATTTCAACCCCAATCGTGATGAATCATTCTGATTCAGTCAACCTAGCAGGCTGTGTGAGTGTTTTTGAACAGCCACAATGATTGCGCAGTGTTTTCATATCGAATCTATAAACCCGACTTTGAGGTACGGTGACAATTACATGATATTGTCATATAAATAATCTACTTGTGGCTTCGCGACAATGTCCACAACCACTTATTCATATTTCGTCATTCCATAAGCACACATGATATCAGTTTTTTTGTGAGTCTTGCTAGATACTGTCGTTAGTTTTATTCCTGTGATTCTTTTGCCCACGTAGAATAATATAAATTATATAATACTGTGCTCAAATATTGATGCGAAATTCCTAGTTATATCGTGCAGCACCAAATCCACAAATACATCGAGCTCATTTGCGTATCTGTCTAGAATCATGGCAAGGGTGCATCACTACCATTTCATAACGTGCTTCATGTGTATTTGAATAAATGTTGTAAACGTAATTGTGTATCGTCAAATATTATATATTTTCAACTGAAAATACTTCAGCCTCCTATGTGATTACTTTCAATTTTTGTTCGCGATTTCAATACGTATGTCATTAAAGTAAACATACTCATATTCTAGCTCCATGTTTAGTATTAATTCTTTATCGAGCAAAGACAACAGTTCGCGGCAAGTAATATCGCGCGATAAAATGATAGGCAAGATATAGAAGATGGATTATTATATTGTAAATTGATTTGAAGCTATGCATATCCGTATTCAAATAGGGAGTGCTTGTTTACATCCTTGTCGCTGCCCACTATTGATCCTATATGGGTTTCAGTTGCAATATGCTATTATGCGCGCTCTCTCTCTAATACATTTACGCTAAGTTTGACAGGAACATATTATACTACATTCCCGATTGATATGGCTGTTTCACTTGTGCGAGCCATATACTCGAATAGTTGAATGACAGTCGAAATTATTCCACTACGCATGTCATTATAATGGACATGATCATATTCTTGGTACGTATATAGTAATGAATATTTGTCGAGCAAAGATAACAGTTCGCGGTAAGTAACATCACGCGATAAAACGATAGGCAAGATATGTAGAAGATGGTTCCTTCGTCTGTATTGATATTGTTGTAACACTCGTGTAT